CATGGGAATTAGAAGAAAGGTTGCCAGGGTCAAGTGATTACCACTGAACTTTCAAATCTTGCCAGGGGTTTCCTGACAATGCGGGTCACTAGACATGCTCTGGTGGCAATCAGGGAAGTGCACAGCTCAGATCTATCTTTCAGAGACAGTTTTCTGCTGTGAGGAGTGTAGTTAGCTAACAGCTTCCAGCTGCTGAATCTTCAAAATCCACCACAGTGCTCCCAGCCAGTAAGGGAACATGGCAGCGCACTAGGCCTGGGCATTTCTGCCAATTTGGGACTTCTCTGTAGACAGACAACCTTTGCATGATGTCAGGCTGCCAAGACTTTCTGAGATGTAGTGTAGTCTGAGGCTCTTCCTGCCCATCCATCCCTACTCCTCCCTTTTTTCCCCACAGGTATTAGACCTGTATAGTGGTCTGAAGTTTCTTCCTACCTATTTGTGCTACCTTTCCCCATTTTCTTTCACAGGTGCTTCCCCTAATAAATCTTTCCCACTTCCAACTCTGTGTTGGCACTTGCTTCTGGAAGGACCTGAATTGACACAGCTCTCTTTTAATAGGTGACATCATCTGGTCTCTCCACACAATCCCACCTAACTTCCCAGATCTCAACCTAGAAACAGTTCCCAAATACTGTCAGCCCATTTCATCACAGTTGGAAGTTTGCTGGATGTTAGGTTCCATTGTTTTGGCTATACAAGATATTTGGGTTTCTAAGTGTGCTCAGCTGCTAACTGAAAGGTTGGAGGTTTGAGTCTATCCAAAGAAACCTTGTAAAAAAGGCCCAGAGATTTACTTCTGAAAAAATCAGCCATTGAAAACCCTGTGGAACTCAGATCTACTCTGTCACATGTAGAGTCTCATGAATCCAAATCAACTCAATAGCAACTGGTTTAGCACCACCCCATCCAGCCCCCATAGTGTGGTTAGGTTCCCTAGAGATGAGACACAGGCATGTGCTGCTCAAACATATACTTTATTTCTGTATAGACTTTCTTTTCAAAATCCCAGGCTAGAAAACCTAGAAACTTCAGGAACCATCTCTTTTCATTTTACTCTTCTCTAAAACCAGGTCAAGAGATCAGCTCCTGAGTCCTTCTTTCCCAGGATTTTACTCAGTCCTTCCAAAAGAAAGGACAACCCATCATGTCTTAGCATGCTGCTGGGGGGTGAGCAGGACAAGGACTCTCACTTGTTAGTTCCTCCCATAAAAGTTTCCCTCCTCACTCCTCAATTACTATGGTCCCAATTACAGTGATCCCATGAGAAAGAATGAGCAGAGGGAGATTGACACAGTATAAATAACACATTGACAGCTATTAGATCTCATAGTTTGGAAGTACTATAACAAAGATGGCCCCATGATATCTTATATTCTATTACTCCTGGATAATGCATCAAGGAAACACACTTATGAGATAAAAACATTGGGTGACACATTTCTGTAATAGGAATGAGACCCATACACAGTGCAAATCATGGTGTTTTTCACATGTAGGAGCTGACAACATTGTTTTAAAGTTAAATAGACATCAATGAACATGTCAGAGGAAGACTTGCTGAGCTTTCTCTGAGGTGATGTTTTGCCACCTTTGAAATGGCCAGGACCATTATCTTATTATGTGCTGCTGGTGATGCTGTTCAACCATGTCACCATAGGGCCCCTGGACTTACTGGTGACTCTTTTGAAATTATCTCATGGAACTTTCTTTGCAAGAGACTCTCCGAAATTTCTAGCCTTTGACTTGATTGACCTTGTTAGTGTGGCTTTTAGAAACTTGTGGAGAATCTGCTTCTCAGCTACCTCCACCCATGCTGGGCAGGCTGGATTCACTAAGGATGAGTAGTGCAAGTATTACAGTAAGTTCTGCAGGGTCCTCATGAGTGTGAGGAGCTGTATTCCACATCTCAGGGTAATGTCCAGAGCAGGTGCTCAATAAACACTTGTAGAATTCAACTCTAACTTTCCTTCTGTGGACAGAATATTCTCCATTCCTTGACACTTTCTTCTTAGGTACTTCTTCCAAAGTGAATAATCCATACGTGGTATTTTTCTCTATTAGAAATATTACTAATATTTTACACAGTGACTTTTGTGCTCCTAAACTATGCCTTCCATTCATATATCTGCATTGTACTGGCTTTATTTAATTTGTTTAATCCCTTCCATGCTAAGAATATGACTTATGGGTCTTTCTGGCTTATACTGTTGCTATACAACTTCCCCCAATGGTTTGGGTGGACTAGAGCCAGCAGGGCTTATAAAGGCTGTAAACCCTATAGATCAAGTTGTTCGTCCCTTAACACTATGGACATAGGACATGTGCAAACCATGAGTAGGACATGTATGGATGTCACATGAAGTTTCTGTTTCTAGCCACATCTGGGCAAAGCACAGAGCTAGGAGACACAAAGAAACTGCATATTCACCTGCTGATACACTAAAGCTGTATTAGGGCATGAAGAATTCAGTGCATGGTCTTGACAGACTCATTGTCCTGTAGGGAGTGAGTCATTCTACTCCAACAGAGGTAGGAGTCCAGTGAAACCATGGGACAGGGAGGGAAGATTCAGTCTTTGAAGGGAAAATGCCAGTTGCTTTTTTCCCAGAGGAACCACTGCAGGGGAAAGCCTCCTTACTCACTGGGCTTTGGAGCACATGCCTATACTACTATAAAGTTAAGAATCTAGGATAATATCCTTCCCAAGATACCAAAAAATTCCAGAGCAGGGAGTTCACATCAGCTGCAGAACTCAGCCTGCTACAGCCTGATGGAGAGATGCAGGTTTGGGTACGAAGTTGTCAGCTCTGAAGGTGGCCAAATCCTCCAGGAGAAGACATATGCATACCATTTTAGGGTAATTCAGTAGAGAATATGTATGGATATTTACATATATTCTTGTTGTTGTTGTTGTTGTTATGTGCCGTCAAGTCGGACCTGACTCATAGCGACCCCTCCTTGGGTTTCTGAGGCAGTATCACTACGGAAGTAGATTGTCCCATATTCCTTCCGAGGAGTGGCTGGTGGATTTGAACAACCAGCCTTCTGGTTAGCAGTCAAGTGCCTTAGGCACTATGCTGCCAGATCTTCTTAGCAGTTGCCAAATCTCCAGGAGTTGGGTATTAGTCACTGGACTCACTGCTCTCATTCTCTTTCAAACCACCACTTTTTTGGTGAAACAAACAAACAAAAATCATAGACTCATTAAACCAGTGGGTGTTAAAATTCAGAGGGATATTTAGATGATCTACTTCAGGTTCATTGTTTTACAAATAAGGAAAGAGAAGTTCAAAGACAAGTGAAGTAAAGCAGAGGGCTACTTAGCAGTAATAGACATTGGTCCATAAAAGACATTAGCTTCTATTAATGGACATATCCTTCCCATGTCAGTGGCTCAGAAAAATCATGGGCGAAGATAATGCAGAAACTGAGGCTCTCATTCTCATGTTTTCCCCACAAGGCAACTCCATTGCTATCAAGTTGATTCTGACTCATAATGTTTAAATATACTGAAATACTGATATGCTAAAAAGGAGCAGAGTGTGTCTTCTTTTCTTGATGCTTAGAAGTCAGGGTTAAATCTTTCCTTCAGATTTTATGTGGATCTTTCTTTTGTTCACCTCATCAAGAGGAGCATAGTGTGAAGTGACCCATCACCTAAAGACATGGCAATCTGAGCATGATTGGGAGTGAATTTGTTGAAGTAAGATAGGGGCTACAGGCAAATGAGTCCATTTGATCTGTTGATGCATTGCAGGATTCATCCTGAATGAGCATTTGCTTACAGCTTAAGTTACTTGCAGAATCACAGAATAAACTATAGAGAAGATGTAGCTCAACTCTCTCATCATTTTACAGGCTTAGAGAAGTTTGATGATTTGCTGTAAGTCACACAACATGAAGGTATCAAAGACAGGAGAATCTTTTTTTTTTTTTTGACACTTGGATGGAATGTTTTCATCTGAACCATTCTGACCCTTTTCACATGTCCCATTGTTAGGGTGTTTCTAATGGTCTCCAGATCAAGGAAATACCCATGCACGAAGTGAAACAAGAAAAAGGTGGTGGGTAGCTGCATCTGTGGAAAGCATCTGTATCTAGGAGAGCATGTTGGAGTAGAAGCTGAAGCTCTCTGTCACGGTCTTGGAGTCGCTGCGGGAGGAACCATTGGAGGTCAGGTCTAGAGATGAAGGCATGGTCTTGGGGCCATCCTCCAGCTCTTCCTCATGGGCACCAACCACTGTGGAAACGGTGGTCTCCAGGCGGCTGACTTTATACACGCTACCTTGGGTCTGGAGATATCGGGTGGATTTCATTTCGAGTCCCTCATAGTCCCCAGCACTGATGAATGGGCAACACCGGAAGGCATGCTTGAAACCCAGACGGAACCTGGGGAGGAATCAAATTGAGAGGTGACTGTGGGGGCCACTTTAGGGGACATCTAGCCCCACATCAGCTCTTGAACACACCAATGCACCCAAGTTTGATTCTCTGCTATTACTGTCTTTTTAAATTAGTTGACAGCTAGAGATGTGAAGGCCAAAAAGTTTTAAAGGTGGAATCAATCCAGGATTAGAATCCAGGTTCATGTGAAATGGGTGCCTTACAGAGGGCAGCTGCCATGCTCTGCTGCCTCCTGTGATGTGTGATCAACCAACTTTGTGTTAATTCACCAGGTGTTTTTTATATGCAGGCTATTGTGCTAGTCACTGGGCAATAAAAACAGACCAAGACTCAGTCTTTCCCTCAAGTGGCTCACAGATTGAAGAATGACTTTTTGCTAACCGTATCCCTTGGGAATGCTTCAGTTTCTCTGTTTGTACAACAAGCAAAACCAACTTTCAATTAAAGACAGGCTAGGAGATTTAATCTAAAAAGGGTTGTCAGGTACTTAGGAGGATGAATATGTAAATTATGTGAACAGAGATCATTTGGACAGGTTGTCCAAAATGTCTTTCTTCTTAGCCAAAACCAAAAAACTTGAGGGAGTGAGTTGCAGAATTTGGGGGCTCAGGACTGTAGTCTCAAAGAACAGCAAGGTCAATTGGCATAATGCAGTCCATAAGGACAATGTTCTACATCCTAATTTGGTGGCAAGTGGGTCTTAAAATCTTGTGAGCAAGCATCTAAGGTCTTACTATTGGGATTTCCCTGTCCAGAACAAAGAAAAGTGAAGAAAATGAAAGCTTCAAGGAACCAGTTGGTACAAAGCACCTAACGGATCATGTGAACACCAGCCTCCATGACTCTGAGACCAGAAGAATTAGATGGTGCCAGGCAACCATTGCTGAGCACTCTGGGAGGGATCACAATAAGAGGTCCCAGATAGAGTGGGAGAAAAATGTGGAACAAAACTAAAAATAATTAAAAAGGACCAAGCTTACTGGTCTGATAGATACTGGGGAACCCCTGAGACTCTGGTCCTCAGATACCCTTTAGGCCTGAAACTGAACTTAGCTCCATGACTCAAGTTTTAGCTAAATGATACAAACCAATGGAATGCACTGCCACTGAGTCAGATCTGACTCATAACGACCCTTCCTTGGGTTTCTGAGGCAGTATGACTATGGAAATAGATTGCCCAACTTTCCTTCTGAGGAGTGGCTGGTGGGTTTGAACCACCAGCTTCACCATGGTTAACAGTCAAAATGCCTTAGGCACTATGCCAGCAGAGCTCCTAGCTAAATGATAGATAGACCTATAAGGTGAACAATAACACCAGGGAGGTATATACGCATTAGAACAATCAACAATACAAGATCAAGAGGGCAGAATTTGCCCAGCGTAAAGCCCAGAAGGCAGGAAGGGATAAGAAAGAAGGACTAAAGGAAATGGTAAACACCGGGAGGAAGTGGGAAGAGTGCTGCTACATTGTGGGGATTACAATCAATGTCACAAAAAAAAATGTATATGAATTGTTGAATAGAAAACCAATTTGCTCTGTAAACTTTCATCCAAATCACAACAAAAAGTTAAAAAAAAAAAAAAGAAAGCATCTTTTTCCAAATTCATAGTACCTGAGGTTTCATTCACAGAAGACATTTTATAGACTGATGACTGATGGATACAAAGACTGTAAGAAGCATTTTGTTCCTTTCCCTGCCTCTCCCACCTCCTTTCCTCAACATAGACTGGGATTGTGCTCTGGATGATGTATTGTGCTGCTGTAAGGTGTCTCAGCTCCCTCTTGGGGACATTCTGCATTCATGGTGAATTCTTATTGCTGACCACATCCCTCAGGGGTTTCTCCTTCTTTTGCTTGTCTGAAGTTGGCTTCTGCTGCAGTATATATAGACTATCTGCCTATACAGTGAACAGCTGACCTAAATAAGCAAAGCTGACTGTAACACAAGAGGGAGTGGTAGGGACTGTGGCAAACTAGTCACCATACTACTTAGCACCTGCTGATTGTTGCCATGCAAGAATGTAAGCACAGGGTGGAAAGGTTTTTTTTTTTTTTTTTTTTCCTTTATCAAGAGGAGCCAGAAATCTACATTTTTATGTGAAATCATCCAATTTTAAAACACTGGCCAACTAATCCAGGGAGAAAAAATTAAAAATCTCTGTGATTGATTCATATAAAGCATGTCTGAAAGCTAGATCTATCTTTAGTTTATGTCCTGTGAACTTACTTACTCTGCCCAACAGATCCAGTGCAGAGAGGGCTGTGCATCCATTGAGAGAGGGAGGGAGGGACGGAGGGAGAGAAAGAGACAGAGATTGAGAGAGGGAGAGGGAGAGAGATTGGTCAGAATGCTGAGTCAGCCATATGTGGCACTGAAATACTATTCCTTACAGGGCACCTTTGCCCTTCTCTGATTTCTCAATTTCCTCTCCGTTTTCCATAATACAAACTAGGAAGCTCTACCCAGTTTCTTGCAGTTTAAAACCAGTTTCCAGCAAGACAGAGTAAGCAGAAATGAGTCAAGTCCTCAAAGGCCTGATTCCTACTCTTTCTTTGCCAGAAGGGTTGGGGAGGGCTTAGGCGCAGGTTGGGGGATAGAGTCCTTACCTGTCATTGAGGCAGCAGTAGATGATGGGGTTGTACATGGTAGAGCTCATGGCCAGCCACATGATGGCCAGGTAGACCTGCTGAATAAACTTCTCCTGGCAGAGATCTGGGTTGATGTACGGCAGGAGGAAGAAGATATGGAAGGGCAGCCAGCAGATAGCAAAGGTGCAGACCACTACTATCATCATCTTGACCACCTGGCAAGAAGGTGAGAAGGTGAGGCATCTTCTTTCATGGATGTTTCTCTCTTCTGCCACATCCTCAATGTGCATGTTGTAATGTGAGGTGGGAAGGGTCTTGTCAAAAAGAAGGGAGGATCGTTTTTGTGCAATGTCAAAGGATTTTGGTTCTCAGAGCTGGCCCAGGACAGCATCATGATCATCATTGGACACTTGTTAGAAATGCAAATTCTTGGGTCCCACCCCAGACTGAATCAGAAACTCTGGAGGTGGGTTCCAGCAATCTGTTTTTGACAAGCCCGTAAGGTGATTCTGGTGTGGATTCAAGTTTCAAAACCATTGTGTTATGCTCTGCTTCTGTGTAAGGACTGAAAAAAACAAAAAACAAACAAACAAAAAAAACCCTCACTGCTGTCCAGTCGGATCTGACTCATAGTGACCCTGCCTTGAGTTTCTGAGGCAGTATCACTATGGAAGGAGATTGCCCAGTCTTCCTTCCAAGGAGTGGCTGGTTTGAACTACCAGCCTTTTGTTTAGTAGTTATATGCTCTAGCTCTAACCACTGTACCACAGAGCTCAGGGAAGTTAAATTAATGAGAAAAGGTAAGTGGATGTTCAGGAGGGAAATATTCAGGAAGAGGGAGAAAGCAGAGAGGGAGTGGAGTATGTGAGGAGCCAGCCAGTGAGCCAGAGTACACTGCTAGGTTTAGAAACTCAGAGGTAGGAAGGAGTGGGGAAGAGATTTAGACAGCTGCAGGAAGCGCATTCAGGGAGTGTTGGATTTTTAAAGGAGATTTAAAAGAATGTTTTATGAACACTTGGTGATATAATCTACTTCTTTTCTCTCCCCAAGAAACAGAAAAGTGTTACATAACATCTACACTATGAAATATTATGCAGAAGAAATACCAAAAAAAAAAAAAAAAAGGAAGCTCTTTATATATTGATTTTTGAAGATCTGGTGGCTATTGTTAAGTGAAAAAGGCAAGGGGAAAAAGAGTGTGCATTTACATATGGGTAAAAAAGAGAAGAGAAAAGAATAAATATTTACCTGGACTCAAAGTGCACTAAAAAACTAGAAGGATAAAGGAGAAACAAATGCCAGTGGTTACCATTGTGTGAGTACTTGAGTGTGTGCATGAGACTTTTCATGTTAAAC